TTTTACACGGATTATATATAAACTAAACAAAAGAGTTTCTGTCACTAAGCAACATTTAATAGTACAGTGCTAACAATGAAAACACAATAAAAATTGCATTTAATCGTGATTAGCATTTGGGATTAGATTGGAGAGGGTAGCGGAAAAGATTGTATGAGTCAAAGCCAGGATAACGACCTCTCTAAAATATGTGTACATTCCAAATCGTATATATGTTCCATTCCTGTCAACATTAGAATAACTTTCCTACCTAACTGTAAGAAATTGCAGGAAAGCGCGTGGAGTTATATGTTACTTGTAGTGTCAATATTAAAGGTGATTGTTTATTCTTGTAGAAGTTGTCGTTAATCACAGTTCTGTAATGTATGTGGGTCACTACCAGATTGAAATCCATGGAGGGGAGGGGGAATAATACTAGCACATTTTATACTTGACGCTTCCTGCTTCCATCCCAACTAAGTCTATATCAAGAAACACCCACCGCCCCACTTCTATAAGTTCTTCAAGCAAGGCAGTCATGTATAGAGAACCAAAAATAGAATTTACATGCTATACAAATCAAACACCTATAACACATCAAGGAACGTCTTAGGAAACGCGACGGCTTCTTAGTTAATCATATTATGAAACAATACAAACACAAAATATTGTCTTACTCTTAGTAACGGTTTGAACAATGATGATACGTAAAGATCTGTTGCTGCTTTTCAGAGTTTTGAGGTAGTAATTGGTAATAGAGGCCCGGCATGGCCAGGTGGTTAGGGCGCTCGACTCGTAATCTGAGGGTCGCGGGTTCGAAACGCGGTCCCAAGTCCAGGATGAGAAAGGGGGAGGGTTGGGCGCGCGGCTACCAACTCCACCCCTTAAAAACCAACCTGCTACAAGTAACTGCAACAACACCTTCCGTTGGCGAGGTGTTGTTGCGGCCCTATGCTCCACTGGGAGTTTACAGGAATAAAATTTAAAAAAAATTGGTAATAGTATTGTTGAGTGTATTATTTTTATTATTAGGTTTCTTGAGATGTGAAAGTATTTCAAAAACACCAATCCTGAAAAGAGACACTTGCTTGTACGTCTGCCTTATATTCATAACCTTTGCTATTTTCCTGTACATATTTAATTTGTCAGACATTGTAGCTTACGGCGATTAATTCTCATTTCCATAAAACTGTAAATTGTGCGGGCATTATCTCCCTTAATCCACGATCTGTAAAACCGGATTACGGAGTAATCCGAACAGCTTACTATTTACACCAATAACCAATACAAACATCATCTCATTTTGATTGAGAAAAGTAATGAAAACGTCTCCGCTGTAAGGAATAGCTTGTGATTCTAAAAGGAGGGGAGTATAGCTGGTTAACGGATACAGACAAGAAATGTAGACTGACAGAAAAATACATAATAAAATGCACAGATATGTGTATATAAAGAGAAAGCAAAATATAAATTACGAGTTAGCTAGTTATACAGAGAGACAGAAGAGTAGCTAGACATACATATGAATTTCTATATGTAGAGAGAGACAAACAGAAAGAGAAAGGAAAAATTATATGCATGCTAACAGAAAAGTATACATATATATATATAAAGAGAGAGAGAGAGAGATAGAGAGAGAGAAAGAGACATCATATATAGGGAGAGAGAGAGAGAGAGAGAAAGGAATATATGTATTGTAGGTAGACGGACAGGAAATAAATAGATAATCATATATTCAGACAACTAGAAACAGATATATATATATATATATTGAAAGAGAGAGATAGATAGTGAAAAGGAAAGAAAGAAAAATTAATTGTAAAATACAGCAGACACGGAATGAATAGAGAGAACGAGATAGACATCTGTGGTACAGTCTAATGCAAGTTGGTACGTCTGTACAGAAAGCTGACTAAACTTTGTGCGTGCTTATCACATCCATTACCTCTTGCGAAAGGGCCAGGATCAGATTGGAAATCTCTCTTTACTCCGCCACGTGCTGCCCTGGGCAAGCCATATATCAGTATGGGTGACAAGTTGCAGTCCCTAACACGCCCTGCACTGGTACTGGAGTTCCCCCCCCCCCAAGGGTATTTCTCTAAGTCTCCGTCGGTATGGTAAATGACTGCGACTCATACCCGAATTTCATATCCCCGAGGAACGGTACAGTCTAGCCTCGTACACGCTAGTTTCCTTCCTCTGATTTTAGTGGTAGTGCATCAGACATTAGGCACAACAAAAAGAAGCGCTCGTTGATTTGAGTGAATTTCTCTCTCTCAAAATATAAACTTTAAGTGGGCCTTTAACTGAATAAGCTAATAGAATACACATAATCGGAGCAATTATAATTACATGACGGACCCGCGCGTGATGAATTTCGTATTAGATACTTACTAATGTTTACATTATATTCAATTATGCATTAACATTTCATTTGCTCGTATGTTGGCTTTAGAAATAACCTACATTAGTGTACAAGTCTGAACAAAATCCTTGCGTATTAATTTTAAATTTGTTTCTGAGCTTTCAACTTTTAATTATGCAATATTTTAATTTCGGAATCAACTTAAACTAGGTAGAGGGCGTTACCCTTTCCATGAAACATTTAAACAAAACAAAAAAATCCCTGAATCCACATGCATTTCTTGTCAAAGCGTAGTTCAAGATTTCTCAAGAACATTCTATTATTATGAGCTCCATGAAGGCTTAAAATTCTATTGGTTGTACATTGTAAAGATTATACTTTGATCACAATAAAAACTTTGCTAGTATAAATCTATGGCTCGAAATATATATATATATTACTTGTCTCCTGTTGAAACTTTAATATTAAGTGTCTTAGTTTTTAAGTAATGTTTTTGTTACTAGTGTTAAACTTCGTTACTTAAGAGTGATGAACTTCTGAGTATAAGTAATTTGAAAATATTTTCTCATAGCAACGAGAGAAACAAACACGACATAACTTAGGTATTTGAAAAGCTTGTAGAGGGCGCATATGTAAGATGTAAAAAAATACATATATAGAAAAGGTAACCTCATACAATTTCTCTTACATCTCTCCCACGCTCGAGTTTTAGATTTCCAAAAGAAAGTCATTAAAAAAGGCATTTGGGAAAACTTAATACGCACGAGTGCACACTATCGAAGATCTACACTCTCGCGCCATGTTCTCTCAGAGGGGATGTTTGCTGGCACGCGAGCAGCGACGTCACGAGCCAACGGAGAGGAAACATTTGGTTAACTGACGTCAAGTGCAGGAACCACGTGTCTTATTCCTGAACTTATAGATACTCTGAACATTCGCAAAACATATTTGGTTGAAATTACTGAGCCAAAACTTTAACACAATTGTCTGTTCAACTATTTTGCAAATATAGCGACATACACGGATTTATAAAGATGTTTTTACTGTGTTAGTGTAAAGTCGCCAGGAAAAGCACGTTTTACAGAGGCTCGTAATTATTTTATTAAAATTATTTTTTCGAAGAATTCGATTACGCTTAATTGAAATGTTTCAGTAGATTTCCTAAACATTGTTTTATTATTTTTCCGAGTAATGTAATTGTATACATCATAGACAACACAAAATCTGTAGAAACCGGTTTATCTATGTCTCTTCGCTATGCACGAAAGCTATAGATGATATATATATATAAAACAGATTCGATATCAACTAAATTCTCTCTCGAGATTAAAAGTCAAATTTCTACTTTACGAATTCATGAATCCAACAAGAAAAAAATATAAACCTCTCACAATATTTCTTACAAAAATCTTCATAGTCACTTTTCTCCCTTGCCTATATTTTAGACAGGAAAGGCATATCCTTATAGTCACATTTCTTCTTTACAATAGTAGCCTAAAGTCAGTTATTTATAAACAAGATACGTATAAAGAACGTAGCCTAATAGTCAGCTATTTATTAATCAGACAGGTATAAAGAACGTAGTCTAATAGTCAGTTATTTGTTAACAGGAAAGGTATAAAGAACGTAGTCTAATAGTCAGTTATTTGTTAACAGGAAAGGTATAAATAACGTAGCCTAATAGTCAGTTATTTGTTAACAGGAAAGGTATAAATAACGTAGCCTAATAGTCAGTTATTTGTTAACAGGAAAGGTAGAAAGAACATTGCCTAATAGTCAGTTAGTTATTAACAGGGAAAGTAGAAAGAACGTAGTCTAATAGTCAATTATTTATTAACAAGACAGGTTTAAAGAATGTAGCTTAATAGTTAGTTATTAAAAAATGCTTTGCTAGTATATTTTATATAAAAGAAAACACATCTTAATATATTTATGTATACTTAACTAAAAAATTAGATTCGTTGCTTTAGTTGTTCTTCAAGAGCTGAAGGAAAGAACAGTTTCTCAGAACATTTAACCATCTTTGTTCGAGAGATTTATTTGAAAAGTTATATAACACTTGTTGTATGCAATTATAACACCTATACAACGAGCATGATACCTATACAACACTTGTTGTATGTAGCTATAACAGTTATATAACCCTTCTTATATAGCGTTGTAATACTTATATAAGATTTGTTATATGTGGCTATATCACCTACATAACACTTATTGTATTTGGTTATAGCACCTGTATAACACTTGTTTTATGTGGCTATAACACCTATATAACACTTTTGTATATGGCTTTAGAACCTTTATAACACATATATAACACTTGTTGTATGTAGTTAAAACATCTATATAAAACTTGTTATACGTGGCTATAACACCTATATAACACTTGTTGTATGTGGCTACAGCACCTTTATTACACTTGTTGTATGGTGCTGTAACACCTTTATTACACTTGTTGCATGTGGTTATAACACCTATATAACACTTTTGTATGTGGCTATAGCACCTATATAATACTTGTTGTATGTAGTTATAACCCCTATATAACACTTGTTGTATGTGACTATAACACCTATATAACACTTTTTGTATGTTGCTGTTCAGCTCACTTCACTACCTGTAGAAGTTAACGTCGGGACGGCATTATCTATACTTGTTAATGCTGCTGTAATGTAATAATTTTGTTACCTGCTAATCTTAGTGCCGACATCCGCTGGAACTCTGGTTCTTCTAGCCACTTGTACATTCTGCGAAACGTTTCCCTCCCGGACTTCAGCTTGCTCCAAGGCTTCGGGTTCCGTAGCAGGTCGGAGAGAGTTCCTTGGGACCTACAAAGTACCCGCTGGGCGAATATCGCCTGAGGAATACTGTAACGCTTTAGCTCTGCACTTATACGCTGAGCAAGTTCCTTTGTGTTGATCTCTTCCACTTCGTCAGCTGCCTCCCCTTTAGGGTTGTTAGATGTTTGTCCTCCGGAGTTTTTAATTGTAATTGCAGCGTGTCCGCCGGTACAAACAGTGTTGACCCCGTTGTTATGAACCGAGGCTGAACTCAGACTACACATGGGCTGAGAAATGTTCACCCCTAGGTGGGATGAAAGCCCAAGACTTACGTTAGGCACAGACGTCTGGGCTGTGAAGGCCGTAACGTTAACGGGTTTAATGTCTTGGTGTTCAGTGGGTGACACGGGCGCTTGCAGGTGCATTGACGGTGGGGTGTGGGGTGCATTCAGTCCGTTCAGTGTGGGTATCATGCTCGTTGGGGAATGAAGACTAACCGTGGGGCTTTGGGAAAATACCAGTCCTCGGGATAAGTCGCGGTGATGTGTGTAGGAGTCGTAGGTGTTCGGGGATATGGCTTTTTCGGGAGAGTGCAGACCGTTTTGGAGGTAAGGAGGCGATGGGATCCCTGTCTGTTGGGCCATATTCCCTAGCCCGTTACTGGGCATCATAGACATTGCAGAAGGGTGAGTTGCTCCGAGCGTGGGGCCCATGTTCATGGGGGCCATGCCCCCCATGTGGCCAAGCTTGTCGTATTGATAACTGTTCATACTCATTCCTAGAGCGTTGTTTTGCATCAAGGTAAAGCTGCCACCGACGTTTCCAGCATGTCCGTAGTGGCTGAACTTATCCGTCATGGTAGAGATGGGTGGAAGAGGCTGTAACGGGGTGAGAGTAGCGTAACTGTTGGCTACTGATAGTCCGGGTGACATCCGACCGTTCAGAGTTTGGTAACTGGACTCAGTGAGACCTCGAAAGTCGGAGGCATCAATCATGGTAGAAGATACGGTTTCTTCGTCCGAGTCAGAGTGGACAACGTTCGAGGTGATCTCCTGGCCTGAGAGCAGCTCGGGCGAATCTGGTACGGGCTCGACACTTCGTACACTACCGACCGTCTGGAGAGCTTCCACTGGTTCAACTGAACCGACCACTGATGGTGTTGCCTCACTGGGACCTGGTTCGCTTCTGATTTGTTGTTCACCTAACTCCCCCCTGTTTTCCATGATTTGCACGTTTTAATGACAATCCAAAATCATTGAACACTTCTATGACACTCCTAGCTTTGCCCTAGATGGATTTTAACGATCGGTGATTAGATTTTTGGGCGTAGTTACAGGCTGGGAATAGGCAAGCTGCTGAAAAACCCGTACATTGCCGCCATGTTTACATTCTGATAACTGCGTCCGAACATGTGCGCAGCCCGCGAGGCAAATAGCGCAGGCGCACTCATACAGTTGTGCGTTTTTGTTCGTCTGCTTTTGTCTCGCGCCCGAGCAGAAGTGGGTATTCAAACTGTAGTGCGGCCCATTGCCTCGTTATTCTTCACTGAAAAGAGTAGTAAGATACTGACAAATGTCTAAAGTGTAAGCGTTTATTCACAAAATTTGTAATAATTTTATTTTTCTAATAGAATCCTACAGAAAGACGTGCCATCACAGAGATTCTCGCACGTGCTTCTGGCAGGAGCACTTTTCAAGCAGACGAATTTCCAATATCACAGAACGTGAAATCAATATTAATTATCATCTCACGTAGATCTTGGTGGTTTGAGGGCACATTCTATAACTGGCCATGGGTGTGTGTGTGTGTCACCGTTTGAATTTCGTGCCAACTTGATTGAAGGCATCAATCTGTTAGTTTAAAACGACACAGTAAGGTAGCGAATAAGTAGTTTTAAAAAGTTATTATTTCTACTTCTCAGAAAGTCATTAAAATCCCATTCCCAGCTCGCTTTGAAAAGGCGGAGAACAGTTAGACACGAAATAATTTTTTTAAATGTTCTTGACAGAAAGACTTGCATAATAACAACCTAGTAATTCTAGGTTTCAATCGGGAGAAATATTGTAGTTAATTCCAGCAGAAGCGAGGTTATTAAAATGTCATCTTCCCTTTTCACCGAAATTGATGAAACAAACGAGAATAGCGTATTCATAGAGAATAGCGTATTCATAGGATGAATTAATATATTCTTATTAACATTTAGAAGGAGGAGAAGAGATAACTTTTGTCAAATTTCATACACAACATTACATTTCTGTTTTTTACTGGCGTCTTTTTATAGCAAACACAAACTGTGTTTTTAAGAAAAATGAGTTCGGTTTTATATTATTATTATGTATCGTAATCGTATATTAGCGGAGATATACGCTCAAGACATGGGGAAGAAAAAAGGACATCTGGGGTGAGACGGGGGGAGGGGTTGATCCGAATGCCGCTATGTTACGAGTATATATATATATAGGTTAAGCTGGCATGTGTTGAGAACATACAGGCTAGTCTGGCATGATACGACAGTATACAAGTTAGTTGGTATGATATGTGTGTATACAGTTTACCCGGTATGATATATGTGTGTATACTAGTTTGCCCGGTATGATATGTGTGTATACAGTTTGCCCGGTATG